CCTGTAAGGTAGATTAGTCCAAGTGATAATGTCTTTTCCAAAGGATCTTTGTTGCTCAGTATGGCTTTCATCTTCTGCCATTCACATCCAAACACAATGCTCCCTACACCACAGTGGCTTACATTCGAAGCAAAAGCTGCTATCCTGGAGTTAGGCTGCTTAAATTCCATTGATTTTGCTGGGATTTAGGCAAATCCCTTGTGCACAGGATGGCAGCCTTAGGCTTCATTTTCAGTAAGCATCAGCAAAGTGAGCTCATTAAGCAGATTGTGCAATCCATGCATTTGTAGGCATCACGTAGAAGATATGGTTTACCTAAAAATACTTGGTGCCAGCTGCTAATTTATGCTAAATCAAATATTCCCATTGGCAATATGAAGAGGATGTTGAAAATAAGGGAAAAATAAATAGCAACTGATTATTGTACCATTAAAAAAAAAAACTTTAAAAACCTAATGGAATCTGTATTCTCAAAGGCTTTCACAACCAAGATCTGATGGTTGTTGTAAGTTTTTTGGGCTGTTTGGCTGTGTTCTGGAGGTTTTTCTGTCTAACATTTCACCAGTCTCTGGGGCCGCCATCTTCAGGGGACAGGAGTTAGAAGTCTGTTTGTGTTCTAACTCCTGTCCTCGGAAGATGTTAGCCACAAAGACTGGTGAAATGTTAGAAAGAAAAAACTCCAGAACACAGCCAAACAGCCGAAAAAACCTACAACAACCAACTAATTGAATCTCTTATTCTTAATTTTATTTACAGTATAGTACGATAGATATCAAAGTATTGAACAGGATTGAAAGTTAAAGAAATTGCAAGTTAAAGACCCAGTAGCTGTAATTACTGTGCAGAAAGTGAGGAGGAATTAAAGGACCTCTTAATGAGGGTGAAAGAGAAGAGTGCCAAAATGGTCGGAAGCTCAACATAAAAAGCCCCTAAGATCATGGCCACTGGTCCCATCACCTCCTGGCAAATAGAAGGGGAAGATATGGAGGCAGTGGCAGATTTTACCTTCTTGGGCTCCATGATCACCGCAGATGGTGACAGCAACCATGAAATTAAAAGACACCTGCTTCTTGGGAGGAAAGTGATGAGAAACCTTGACAGCATCTTAAAAAGCAGAGACATCACCTTGCTGACAAAGGTCCGCATAGTGAAAGTTATGGTTTTTCCAGTAGCAATGTATGGAAGTGAGAACTGGACCATAAAGAAGGCTGACTGCCGAAGAATTGATGCTTTTGAATTGTGGTGTTGGAGGAGACTCTTTACAGTTCTCTGGACCGCAAAGAGAACAAATCTATCCGCTCAAAGTGGTCGCATAGACCAGATGGGCGGGATACAAATCAAATGAATAAATAAATATCCATTTTGAAGGAAATCAACCCAGAGTGCTCACTGGAAGGACTGATCTTGAAGCTGAGGCTCCAATATTTTGGCAATCTCATGAGAAGTGAAGACTCCCTGAAAAAGACCCTGATTTTGGGAAAGTGTGAAGGCAAGAGGAGAAGGGGATGACAGAGGACGAGATGGTTGGACAGTGTCACCGAAGCTACCGACATGAATTTGACCAAACTCCAGGAGGAGGTGGGCCTGGTGTGCTCTGGTCCATGGCATCATGAAGAGTGGGACACGACTAAACAACAAACAACAAAGCTGTAATTAATTAATCAAAAGTAATCAAGGCATGCTGACTGAATAGCTCAGTGAGTTGGAATACCAGGGATTGTGTGTTTGCTTCTCTGCTGTGCCTTATAGAAGAAGAGCCAGCAGTTATGGCCTTGGTCAAATGGTACAATCCTTTAGCAGCTATTTCCACCAAGTTCTACCCGTGTCACTCGCGCGAGTCAGGAGGTGAGGCTGAGGAGCCTAACGCCGAGGGAGGCCCGGAAAGAAAAGACAAGAAATCGGGCCTTCTCGGCGGTGGCTCCTCGCCTCTGGAATAACCTTCCCCCTGACATCTGCGTGACTCCCTCGCTGGGTATTTTTAAAAATCAATTAAAAACACTGATGTTTCGGCAGGCCTTCCCCGCCAATTCATGATCTTTCCTCTTTTTTCTCTCCCCTCGTCTTTGTCCCATCTTGTCTAAGTTTTTCCCCTTATTTAAAATTGTTTTAATCATATTGTAATTATGCTTGTTGTAAGCTGCCTAGAGTGGTCTTAAGTGGCTAGATAGGCGGGATATAAATAAAATAAATAAAATAAAAGAAGAAAGGAATGGTAGACTACTTCTGAGTATTCTATATCACAAAAACCCTGGAGAGAGTCGCTGTAAGTTGGAATTGACTCAAAGGCATATAATTACATTTTAAAGTATGATACAAAAGGTAGGGGAGGAGGAAAGTGCTGTCACTCAGTGAAAGTGATCACTGTTCCGTGCTGGGCCTCTGTAGTTAAAGATGATGAGATACGCTGTTGGTGAGTGTTTTAGCTGTAGATTTTTATTTTAGCAGGGTGTGAAGTAGATTGTTCTCAATGCCATTCCAACTCTACAGTTCAATGATTCCATGAGAAAAAGTCCTTCCTGACTCTGGAGGAATCCTACCAGCCAGAGCAGGCAGCACTGATTAGAAAGACCAATGGAATGACATGATACAAGGTATTTCTCAGGGCCAGTCCAGTCAACAGGCGAAGTGGGCGGTTGCCTCAAGTGGCAAGTGCTGGTAAGTAAGGAGTTTCAACAGGGTGCTGAGAGGAAAAGTCATGCAACCTGCCCACTACCACCCTAGTTAGTCTAATGCCTTCAGATGAGATGAATGATGCCATCAGCCAGCTGTTGAACATTCAGCTGTCAGACTGACCAGCTTGTATATATAGAAGAGGAACACAATCTTATTCTTCTCTTCAAGCAGATGTTTTGAGCTGGCCCTGACAGCTTATTTTTCCTCACATGGAGCAGGTAACAAAGACGTTCTTCAGAGGCTGCTTGAGAAAGTAGAACAATTGCCTGCCAATGCATTTCACTGGTATAGAGGAATGTTCTACGAGAATTTTATTTTGTGCAGAATAATTACCACACACTTCTAATTTGATTTATGCCATCTTCTGCCAGCAGTGCCTCTCTGCTTCCTACATAGAACAGACAAGACCATCTGAAGAATGAACAGATACAGTTCTGATATCAAGAATGGCAACACAAAGAAATGAGTTTCAGAACACTTCAACCTCCCAGAACGCCCTGTTACAGATGTCAAAATAGCTCTTTTGGAATGAAGGATTACAAAGGGAGACTCAAGAGGGAGATAGCAGAAAGAAGCTACTTAAACAAGTTCCAGGGTATCTCTAAGGGTCTCACTTGAGATCAAGGCTTCTTAGTTCATGACATATATTAATAAGTCAGCTTTCCATAATATCTTATGAATGTTAAACAGTTGCTCCCCTTTATATACTCCAATCTCTGTCTCAGAAGCATCTCTTAGCATTCTCATGACAGTCACATTTACCTGGCCTACAATTATAGCCTGGAAACAACTAACAGCTTGATAGTCCCATTCTTGTGTTAAGAAAACTATTTTCACTTTGTCTTTTATCTGTATCCTCACTTAGTCATGGGTATGTGTATAAATATTTCATTCATTCATTCATTAAATTTATATATCGCCCATCTATCTACTTGGGCCGCTCTGGGCAGTTCACAACAAAGGGAACAAACATTAAATCATAATTATATTAACATAACAACTACTTAAAATTAAATAAACATATCATGAATTAACTAAAACAATATCAACATAAAACAATTCATAAAACAAGAAAGTGGAATCGGTGTCTTCAGTGTTGAGTTCGCTATTGCACTTTGTAGATGTAAAATCTGGGCAGGTCTATCTACCAAAACATGTTTTAAGATGTCTCTTGAAAATCCCCAGTGTGGGGGCCAGGCGAATTTCAGATGAGAGGTTATTCCATAAATGCGGTGCAACTGCGGAGAAGGCCGGGATCCTAGCCTTCTCTTTCCAGGCCTCTCTTGGAGTCAGGGACCTCAACTGCCCTGCCTACGATAATTGAGTAGATCAGGAAGATCTTATTAGAAAGAGACTTTCTGGCAGGTCTCAAGGTCCCAAACCATTTAGGGCTTTACATGGTAATGTCATCATGTTCAAGCTGGCATGGAAACAGACAGGTAACCAGTATAAAGCGGCCAGAATGTGGGAGATGTGTTGGGATTTATTTACCCCACACAATAGTCTGGTTGCCATATTCTGGATCGGCTCAAGTTTCAATAGCAGCCTCATGGGTAGCCCCACGTAAAGAGCATCTTGAGACTACCAGTGCATGGTGAGGGACCCAATGTCAAGGTAGGAATGCAGCTGGGTGATCCGACTAAGTTGGGAAAAGATAGAATGAACCACAGATACTACCTGGGACTCCGTTGATAGTGTTGGGTCCAAAAGAATGCCCAAGCTGTGAACCTCATCCTTAGTGAAGAGAGTGACCACTCCGATCCACAGACACTAGGACCCCCCCACCCACAGGATCTCTGTCTTGTCCAGGTTTGCACTCCCACATTTGAGGAAGTCGACTTTGATCCCCAAAAGCTCACAGTAAATTAAATTTGTTAAATTGATTCAATATTTGGGGTCCTCCCTCTTCTCTTTTGCCAAGAACGTTGCACTAAGATGAACATTTTCCCTGTTATCCAAGTCTTATGACATGATCACACTGGCTCCTGCATTGAAAGTGGTGGTGTGAGATACAGTATGCTCTCATAGTGTTAATAACTGGATGGCCTACTGATCTTGCAGTCTTAAAAGGGCTAAAAATAGATTACATAAAGCCAGAAAACCTGAAAATGTGCTCCAAGAGAAGAAATATTTCAATAACTTTTTTCTTTCCCACTCCCAAATGTTAAGCAAGAGTTTATTTGGGTTTACATAATTATTCATTTGCAATGTTTACAGTCCAAATACTCCAGCAGAGATTATTACAGGAGAACTTGAATCCAATTAAGCTCTTCTGTACGAAGCATGTTGGAGTAGAAAAGGCTTACCAAGGAAGATCCTGGGAGGCAGAGAGTACAATGTCTTTTATTGTGCAGTGGGAATGCAATTCACTAAGTAAACAAGTGCTCAAGTATACTTGATGTTCCAATTTACATTAGCTAAACTGGATTTTAAAAAAAACCAAAGACATATACTATGTTATTTTAAAACCACAATTATTTTACCATGTGAGAGAGAACATTCCTAAGTAGCAACCTCATAAATGGTGCCGATCCTCTTACACAACTCATTCCTATGTACATCTAAGAAATAAGTCCAAATGAGCTCCATGGGGTTTATTAGCAGGAAAGTGTATATAGGTTTGCAGATTTATTGTGTCAGTGTAGGATTCTAGCCAGCAGTGTTCAGAGAGTTAGGTGTGTTATGCAATAGCTACACTGCTGAATTAAATAAGAGCTGGTTCAGGTTTTTTAGAAATCAATATAACATCACATGGTTTTGTGTCGGTGTGTGTGTGTCCTCATGGAAGCTGTCTTTCTCCAACCACCAGGAACTCTGCAGAGCTTAGAGGAAGGATGCAGTCCTGTGTTCTGACATCAGGAGTTTCCAGAAAGTGGCATCAATCTGAAGAGAACAGAGCAGAACAGGTTCCTGGCAAGAAACGAAGCCAGCCATGTCCTGTAACAGAGGAGACAACTTCAAGGTTCCCTTTATCATGTGCTGAAGAAGGTTGGGGAAGCAAGAATTACAGATTTTAGCACAGGTGTGAGGGTGAAAGCATGAGCATCAGCTGTCTTTCATCAGTCTCCTCACATTTTTAAATTTTTAATTTTAAAAAATATATGTTTTGAACTGGCAGAGCAATAGGTCAATGGAGCACTAAGATAGAAAAAAGGAAAAGTTTGGACTACAGGGTATCCTGTAGTCCAGTGGTGTCGAACTGTGGCCCTCCAGATGTTCTTGGACTTCAACTCCCAGAAGCCTTCACCACCACCTCTGCTGGCCAGAATTTCTGGGAGTTGAAGGCCAAGAACATCTGGAGGGCCACAGTTCGACACCACTGCTGTAGTCCAAAATCCATTATACCTGCCTCCTGTTTCAGCAAACCCCACAGACCGCCCCAGAGACACTATTTACTCTAACACAGCCAATCACACAAATGAGTAAAAAAAAGTATGACCAGAATCAATTTGAAATAGTCTCCTTGTGAGAATTTTAAAAAACCCACTTTCCGCCTCCAAAAATGCATGCCTAGCTGCATGTCATGGAGTTGTTGTTGTTGTTTTTAAATCAATTTCAAGCACAGCAAACCTGATGCAAAAACAGGAATATTATGACATGTAGTTAGTTTGGTCTGTTTCAGACACAGCCGGAAGAACAACCAAAGGAAACAAAAAACAGAAGTGTGTTTCCTTGTGAGCTTTCAGGGATACAAGCCACTTCTTCAGTCACATCATTGTCTGAAAATGGTGCAGTTTGAAGGATAGCTGTCATTGTATTGTGTTTGGCTTTTAAAAAAACTTTACAGATTCCTTGGTGGATGCTGCCATCACACAGTTTTTGTACAGCATTATAGAGCTTACAAAATCCCTCACAAACATTATAATAGCCTTGAAAGGTAGGAGACCTCTAGTTTGGAGATTTTAGAAGGGGTCATATCCCAATGTTGAAAGAGCTAGTATGATGAAGTGGTTAGAATGCTGAACTGGGACTTAAGAAAATAAATTCAAGCGCCCACTCAGCCACAAAGCTGATCCCAAGCCAGCCAGTCTCTCTTGGCCTGACCTACTTCACTGAATTGTTCTGAGGATAAAGTCGAAGGACAAAAGCCACATAGGCTACCTTGAGCTCACTGGAGAAAAAGTAGGAAATACCGAAAAAGTGAAAACCAACAGAAGAATGCTGCCCTCAGGAGCATAAAATGACAGCGCAATGATACTGGTGAACTTTTCATTCTTTGTCCATTTTTCTGTTCAAAATCACCTCACAACTACTTAATATGCATGGAAGTAAAATCCTAATGGGATACTTTAAACACAAAAATAATTGCATGGAAAATGCTTAAGCAAGCCTTGACATACTTCTACTCAAAAGCTTATTTTTCATCCCAGAATGTTACAAGCATTTTCTATGTAATGTCTGCTTTGGCTTTATTTTGTTTTTTTACCTCACAGGTGGAGGACCTGGGAGACAGAACATATGCACAGTGAAAAATGTACTACCATAAAATGTAGTGACAGCTTTACAAAAGAACTAGACAAATCCATGAAGTATGAGACTATCAGTGTCTATGACTAGTAGTCCTGATAGACAGATTCACATATAAACACGACACAACACAACACACACACACTCTCGCACACAAACAAGAGAGAGAGAGAGGTGTAGTGAATAGAGTGTCAAATTGGAACCCAGGAGACCTGGGTTCAACACACTTCTCCTAAGAAACTGATGGGTAACTGCACAAAATTCTGGACAGGGTAAGCTTTGGTTCTTATTCAGCAGAGATTTCTGTGTTTTCACTTTTTACCAGTCACCTCCAATTACTACATCTATGCAGTCTTAACCACTGCATGTTGCTCCTCACATTAGGTGAAAATCTATGGGATCAGTGTAAGGTAAAGTGGGAGGAGTTGCACAATCATAACTAAATGGGTGGGGGGTCAGGGAGGGCCCTGGAGATACGGAGAGGAGATGGGATCAGTCAGTGCAGCTTTCCTCATCTCTTGTTATAAGTAACATAGCTACCTGTGACTACTTACTTTTTTGATAATGAAAGTATAATAAAGTTACTTTTCAAAAGCAATGCAACAAGTATTTTATTGATTTAACAAGGCATGTGTTTTAGTTTGTCTATTATTCATTATTTATTAAAATATTTTTACCCCACACTTCTCCTTAAAAGGATCTAAGGCAGCTTACATCATTAAAAAATTACTTTTTAAACATTAAAGGGAGTTATAGTAAAAATCAATTTTAAAAAGTAACTTTTCAAGTTCTGGCCCTGCTCCTCTTCCATGTGAGGAACCTGGATGGATCTGTAATTCTCTTTCTGTGAGAGGAAGCACAAGATTCTCCGTCACTCATTAAGTTGCTAGGATTCTTCAGGAGATATTAGCGTGGCATCAAGCTTACAGACAGGATAGCAGCATTTGCCTAAGGCCACATTGTGAATTCTTTGTCCATTGCTTTGGGACAAATTTGATGAGCTTTGCAATTAGCTGCCCATGTCTGTTCAGTCATGTTGCAAATGAAGCCTATTGTACTGTTCCCAGATGAGCAATCACCAAACAAAATCCAAGCTAATTTGCAACTTGGGGAACTGCAGAGGAGAAGTCATGTTAAGATGAAACAAAATCCTTTACAACTTAAAAGAAGCTCTTTTATAATGTCTTGTATAGTTCAACCCTTCTTCTTCTAGGTGGTCTGTTCCAAGGCAAGGAGAACAAAGTCCAGTTTGTGATTCTTCCCCCCCTTGCTGCTTCTTTATTTGTGACTGAGCAAATTTAATGATGGCATGTAAGAAAGTGGGAAAAGTCTCTTTCAGAAGATACCAGTTACTAAACTATCTCAAGTTATAGCAATGTGGCCATTACTGTATATCCTGTTGCCTTATGTGCTCGCATAATGCCAATTGCAATTTTAGCTCTTCAGCCAGACACCAGTCCCACTGCTCTGCACCTGCTTGCTGAATAACCAGTTGCATGCTGAGCCATGTGACAGATGGAAAGCCAGAGAACGGAACTGATTGGGCAATTGCCCTTGTGCACATGGTTGTCTCAATATGATGTTGGCCTGTGGTGATCTAATCACTTTGCAGACATTAATCAGAATAAAGGATGTGATCAAAAATACTGCAAACATATATACCTGTGTTTTAGCGTACATATGCAAAACCTGTTTCCCCAGCTCTGACCGTATTAGATGTTTAGAAGTTAAATGTGTACTGATATTCCAGTCAGTGCTTGGGAGTGAACCAGAGCACTTCTAATTACAGATGAGGGATATAAATAATGATTTGTGCCCTGTAAGATCAAGTTCAAAAATGGTAGCATGAGAAGTTACAGTTTATAGATGTGACTAATCTTCACTAATCTTGTGAATTACTCAGAAGTGGTTTACACTGACCTCAATGAACACTTCATTCAATATAAGGTTTTCAAATCCTTCTCCATTTAAATCTCCAAGAATTATTCCTGAGTAAATATGCATATAATTGGCCTCTACTACTGCAATTCATCAGTCAGTTTCACTACAAAGTTTGGAGTGAAATTATTTCAATTAAGACTATTGGTATTGCTACAAATTAACTTATATTTATAACTAGAAAAAAGAGAGAAAAGTGCAGTGAAGGAGAATTCTAGTAGGAAAGAGAAGAACTAAAACTTTGATATTTATACAATATGGAAGAGACCAAATGCAAAGTTGATGAGACATATTACATGATCCCACAATGTGAAAGAAAATGGAGTACAAGACAATCTGAATGATCAATTCAGGTGAAATTAATTGAAGAGGGAAGATCAAAGCAAGTTCAACAACCAGCAGAAAGGATTATAAAGCAGTCAAACCCAGAGATTTATCATAGCAGGGATTAGGATTTGCAGGACCAGCCAGGCTCAGCCTAAGAAATCTAGCTCCTTGGGTGAGGTCTGTACCTTCAGTGACTCTCCCCATCAGTAGAACTTTCTTTTCAAAACATTTTAATGCTTATAGGACTGAATCCAATGTTGTGCTAGTGAACTGTTAGGTACTATTACATTGTTTTAATTATTCCAAAAGTTGTGTATCAGTTCCACATGTACTTCACTGAACGTTGCATCCCTGCTGTTACTATAGGCTGAGGCCTATTTATTTATTTATTTATTTATTTATTTATATCCCACCCATCTGATATATTCTACCACTCTGGGCGGCTTACAACATATCATAAATAAATTAAAATAGCACAGGAGCATTACAATAGAAACAGTGAGATACATGATAGAATATGGTAAATAATAAATAGCAAGAAAAGAAAGAATCAAGTGTTGACAGGAGGGAAGGCCTGGATGTACATCCATGTTTTTAATTGGCTTTTAAATGTGCCCAGCATGTACATCCATGTTTTTAATTGGCTTTTAAATGTGCCCAGCGTAGGGGCCCCACGAATCTCCGGTGGGAGGTTATTCCAGAGGCGAGGAGCCACCGCCGAGAAGGCCCTGATTCGTGTCTTTTCTCTTCAGGCCTCCCTCAGTGTCAGGCTCTTCAACCTCACCTCCTGGCTTGCACAGGTGATCCGGATAGATCTTGGTGGGAGCAGGTGTTCCGCCAGATATCGAGGTCCTAAACCGTTTAGGGCCTTATAAGTAAGCATTAAAACTTTGAAGTCAATGCGGAAGCGGATGGGCAGCCAGTGCAGCATGGCCAGAATAGGAGAGATATGCTGGTGTTTTCTCACTCCAGTAAGGAGTCTGGCCGCTGCATTCTGCACCACCTGAAGAGGGAGAATTCAAGTAACCATAGCACACACAGTATTTAAGGTCTGAAGATGATTCTGTATTGAATGCTATAAATTAAGAGGTCAGTTTAAGTGTGATTTTCACCTTCATCCCAATACAAAAGTTCTCTTCCCTTACATCTTTCTGGACCGCTGTCTCAATTGTCTTTGCTGGATTTCCTATTATATCTGAATTGCT